TATATATATATATATATATATATATATATATATATATATATCTTGGGTGCACGGAAATGTGACACTTCTTTGTCAGTTATATGATGTAAAGTATTTGACAATGACAGACTTAGTCATCTCTTTTCTTCATGCATACTTGATGTGAAATTGATATGTATTTAATACAACACCATAATTGAATGTGCACTCAGTATAGTTGTTTCTTTATGGTTACTTTGACACTTGGCAGAATAAATAAGAGTACCCACTTGAATCCACTACTGAAAATTAAATTTACAGCTGTCATTTGATTAGTAGTTTCTCTAAATGAGTTTGTTTTATGCACTGTATGAACAATATCAAGAACAATCCTGTGCAGATTTGGAAGGAACTTTAAGATGGTGCTTATGAGAAACCTTAGATTGACACAACTTTGCCTTCTTTTAGCCAAACTAGTGAAGACACATTGCTTGCATTGTTTGTTTCCTATGACTCTAGCTCCAAATCTGCTGAAGAAGTTTATCATTTGCAAAAGAGCTAATATTTCAGCTCAATAAGCCTCTGCATATCCTGCTAGTCCCCTTTTGCCTCCAGATCTAGGCCTCTCTGTCACAAGTTTACTTAGGGTATGTAGGTCACTGCATATCATTTCTATCAGATAGATGTAAGATTTCAAGAAGAACAGCCGCCCTTAGCTGCAAGAGCTAATGGCGCTGTGGCTGAGTGGTTAGAGCAGTCGTCCTCCAATGCAAGAGTTGGGGGTTCGAATCCACCAGCAGTCACATGCCAAAGTGTCCTTGGGCAAGACACTGAATCCCTCATAGCCTCTGATGTGTGTCCCATCAGTGTATGAATGTGATCTAAAGCTCTGATTAGTCTCTTTAGAATGATTTGTTCAATTAACTTTTGTAGAGATGTAGAGAGCTTTATGAATGGGTAAATGAGGCACAGATTGTAGTGTAAAGCGCTTTGAGTATCTTGAAATAAGATAGAAAGGTGCTATATAAGTACAGACCATTTAGCTTTAAATCATCTGCTTTTAGGATGGAACTCTAACAATCTTTTACAGGGGAGCCACTCTATCTCCAACAGATGAAAACTAATCCACTCCTATTGAATGCTATTTTATTTGACCTAAATGATCAGACATTTACTGTAGTAACATTGACCACACATTCTGATAGAGGAAAGTTGTCATTATGAGTGTGAAGATTTTCATTAATGATCTCAATATATCATAGTTCATGTTCAATCCTCCTCGGGCTGATGAAGTCTTTTGGATGAAAGACGAAACGTTTCAACAAAAAAAAGAAACTGTCCAGAGGACCTGACCTAACTTTGTTAGGGCCTGCCTAGAAAGGCAGCTGTTATTATCTACCTGAAGAGGGTCTTGCTCTTCCATCAACTTTAATGCAATCCAAACCGCAATGTGTACCCCCACAAGTTTTACATCAAAGTGACCGGCTCGGCACCGTGATGTGTGCTACTACTTTTATTGGTGTTCGAGTTACCATGACAACGTAATTTGCAAACAAAGATGCCATTTTTCTTATTGAAAAACACTGACAGCACTTTTAACAGCTTCTAACTGCCACACTTAGGTCGAGGTCACATGACCTAGAGTGAAGAGGTCACTGAACAAAACACTGATTAACTTTTGGAGCCATTTTGGATCAAGATGGCTGCCACAGCTACCTCAAACAACTCAAAATTGACTATAACTCAGCCATTCTTTGAGATACTGAGCTGAAATTTGGTCTGGTCATAGCTGAGAGCAAGTTGTTATATATTCCTAATGCAAATAAAAAATCCAAGATGGCCATCTTAGCTAAAAGGGAAAAAAAAAAGATAACTCAGCTCTTGTAAAAGATAGTGAGCTGAAGTTTGGTGTGGTGGTGCTGACAGCAATGTACAACACATTCTGAATTCAAATCTAAAAATGCAATATGGCCGCCAAAGCTAATTTCAAATTGATATAACTCAGAGGATTTTAGAGCTAGTTAGCTGAAATTTGGTGTGTTGGTAGCTGAGAACAATCCCTAATAGACTCTGGTTGCAAATTAAAAATCCAAAATGGCAAATTGAAAAAAAATATTATAAAACAGCCATGTTTAGAGATAATTACCTTAGCTGAAATTTGGTGTGATTGCTGAGAGCAATGGCCAAGACTTACTTTCAACTCAAAAATTTTAAATGGCTGCAACATGGCAGTCCCCATCAAAGTTTCTCCAGGAACTTTCTAGTTGGGTAATGATCTTTGGTTGTTTTTTGTCCTAATATATGAGTCTTCTACACTATCTTGTGCATTTTGACTGTGGTCTCTGTCGTTGTTCACTTGTACTTTGAGCACCATCCTTTTGTAATTTGGCACACTTGGCCTTGTCAGGGCCGTTTGATTGAGCTGGGCTGAATACAGTCCGAACAGAACAGAAATCTATTACACCAGTTTATAATGTGTGTATCTTGGCTTGTGACAGAAAGTTCTCCATTGTAGAGCCACACAAATAGACAATTTTTTCTTTGTTTCATTCTTTAACAATTTTGCGAAGAATACCTGAAATAGCTGATTAATTAGACTTTACTGGCATCTGATCTTAGAAGATCTGCCTTCCTTCTTCAGATAAAATGTGAACGTTAGGATTTAAGCTATCTTAAAAAGACGTAGTGTGTAACTGTTCTTCACAAATTAGCTTAGATTTTTGTTCTTTCTTTTGTCCAGAAAATATAGTAAGGGTGAACACAACAAGAAAGGGCTGACCTGACTTGCCTTGCCTGGGGAATGAAATGCTTAGCTGATTATTACAGCTAGCTATGATGGGAAGACCACCAGAGTAGTGACAACTGATGTAGCTGCCTCCGGGGTGAGACAAAGGTTTACATATTACACAAGCAATTTAGATGTTTTCTAAACATGTTGCCAAGACAGTGGGAGTTGGCAGCTCTCTCCATGTTTAGGTTTCCTGTTTTTGCTCCCCCACTTTATCTCTACCCTCCTACCTCCCCTCTCTCATCCTAGCCTTGAATTGTGCACGGACTTGGTGTGAATTGGGAAAGATGGAGGGTTTTGTGGAGCAAAAAGCATAGACTGAAGCACTTCACACTTTTGTGCACTCTATGAACTGCGCTGAGTGAGTGAGCTAATAAATTCTTTTAGCCACTCAGTGCAGTATTCACAAATATCCCCCAAAGATTACACACACTGCACAATGGAGGCCACCGGGACGGTCTGAGCGTCACAGGGCCCCCCGACCCTGAGGACAAGCACACATAATCAGGCTGTAAGAAAGCTTCTGCTATGCTAGGAGGGTTGAGGGGGAGGGCTCCTAAGAGAAGGTGCAGCTCAACCCCAGATTCAAATGTTTTATGGTAGCTGGTATATTCAAGAGTATGAAGTGGAACAACAGAGTTTGAAAATATAAAGTGTGGTAATAAAATAATAAGCTGCACTGTTAAAAGAAATGTGATGGTTAAATATAAAAGAGGATTAGAAAAAAAAAAAAAATAGGTGGTGATGGGTGTGTAATGGTGAGATGTTGGTGATGATGTGATGATGAATATGACCGGGGGATTTCAGCCTCACACAGTGGAGCAGAAGCCAAGCTGGAACATAATTAACTCCTAGCTCTTTTGTGTTCCTCATCTGACTGCAGAGTGGTGATGAAAGGGGCCTATTAAGCTTAGCATTCCACCCCAATTACAAGAAGAATGGCAAGCTGTACATCTCCTACACCACCAACCAGGAGCGCTGGGCCATTGGACCACACGACCACATTCTACGTGTGGTTGAATACACCGTGTCACGGTAATGAAGACTCGGCTACCAAATTTTCCATTGGTGGAAAGATTAACAAAACCTGGGATGCCTTACAGTCATCAATTTTCTGTTTTGGAATAATATAAGCTTGCTTTTTTTCAAATTAAAAAAAGGTTTAATACAAAATCAGACTTCTTGAATTATCATTATTATTGCAGACAAGTGAAATTCACAATGACCAGCAACAATAGTAACAAAAGCTTTGTAGACGTCTAGAGATACAACCAGAAAACAAACAAGGTTTTTGTCTTGTAATTTAGAACAATTGTGTAAGAAAACTAATTCTAAGATTTGTTTTGCTGAGAATTTGCAAAACTCTGGATAGCAAAACTTTGCCTTTACTTGCGTCTGTATCTTACAGTCCTTTCACAATAACTTGTTTAAAAAATTTAAAAAAATCACGACCATATTTAAGTGTTATGTTTTAATTTACTTAATCACAGTTAAATGTTTAACTTAATGAGCTAATGGTGATTATAGTATTGCCATGCGGCTAAGTGACTGCAGCATCGTCCATAATTTAGGGATTCTGTAGAGAAGTGACATTTACATTTATTTAATGGTTGTTTGCGTTTCTTCTTAGACAAACTGCTTTTCAGAAATTTCACAACAACCCAAAATAGCATATAATTTATCATCATGTATTTGTTGCTGATTTGGTAAAACCAAATTCTCAACACAGCTGCTCCATCTTAAAGTTAATGTTCCATCTCCACCCACCATCTTTGTCTTACTGAGACATTACATAAGATATAGACTAAACTTCTCCAGACAACAATTTAAACTCATTACTGGTTAAGTTTTGTTTTGTATACCATTTATATTTCTTATCCACAGATCATTATCATTTTAGCAACAGTTCAATTATTTTGTAAGTATAAAGATAATCCAATTCTGCTCATTTCACGAAATGTTTTGTAAATCATGTCGCAAAACGGCAGTATTGCTGTTCTTTAGTGACTTGCAAATAAATAAAGATACATTTTCTGGCCAGCTGTATAAGTGTTTTGGAAGACAAGTTAAATTGAAACTGTAATGAAACTTCTTCTTTTTCTTCTTCCTTCATCCTTCTTTCTTCCATCCTTCTTCTTTCTTCCTACTTTCTTCCTTCCTTCTTAACTGTGTAAAAAAAAGTTTTGTTAAAAATCAAAAATCTTCTTTTCTTTCTTCGGTTTTCTTCCTTCCTTTTTCTTCTTTCTTTTTCTTTATTCCTTCCTTCCTCCTTCCTTCTTCTCTCCTTCTTCCTTTCTTCTTCTTCTGTCAGCTTTTCCCTATTCTGGGGTCGTCACAGCGGGTCATCCTTCTCCATCTCACTCTGTCCTCACTCCATCTACACCATGTCCACTTTAACTGCATCCATATATCTCCTCTTTGGCCTTAACAACAAAAATAAATCTTGTTATTTGTTATTTTAAAAAAAAGGTTAAATCGTCATCTGGGCAAGTTTCTTTTTGGGAGACTGTTGTTAGTTGTTTTATTGTAATGCAGTAAGAATTGTTTTTGGACTGTGACAAAAATGACAATAGTTGTTTATTCTCTCTCAGGAAAAATCCAAATCAAGTAGACATAAGGACGATGCGTGTGCTTATGGAAGTGGCAGAGCTGCACAGGAAACACCTCGGAGGTCATCTTTTATTCACCCCTGATGGTTTGTTGCACATCATTCTGGGAGATGGCATGATCACTCTGGATGATATGGAGGAAATGGATGGACTCAGGTAAGATGAAATGTCAAAATGTCATTACCCTAAAGTCACAATAACTCACTATGTGTGTGTTATTACTGTAAATGTTGTTCTTGTTGACAAATCAATGTGAGGTCATTCTATTGTATGTTTTTGCATACAGTGATTTCACAGGATCCATCCTAAGGGTGGATGTGGACACAGATGTTTGTACATCAAATTATTCCATACCACGGGACAATCCGTACTTTAACAGCACTAATCAGCCACCTGAAATTTTTGCTCATGGATTACATGACCCAGGCAGGTAAGTGGGACTGATGGGACAATACCACGCAAAAGATCTTACACAAAGTAATTTTTATATTTTATTAGGTTCTGCTCTCTAAATGGTGCTGATATGAGAAATGAACAAAATTACATTTTTTATATAAAAAGGATGCAGAAATGTAATATACATTGGCACCAGTTAACTGGTGTAAACTAAAGATGCTACTTCTTTTATTCTACTACAATAATTGTGTAGGTGTGCAGTGGATCGACTTCAGACAGACAATGGAAGTCTCGTTATCCTATGCACAGACGCCAGTGGCAGAAACGCCTCAGCAGGAAGAATATTGGAAATTACTAAAGGAAAGGATTATGGTGAGTCATAATTTCCACAGTATTATTTTTAAATAGTCATAATATTTACTTTTTTTTGTGTAAAATTAGTTTATTGTTTTGCAATATATCGCCTCTGATTTAAAAAAAAAATGTATGTGAGTGCAACCTTAGCCCAACACCAAAGTTCATGCTCAATAATCCAGGTAGAAATCCAACAATGTTCAGTCACGTCATCTGGACGGTTTCTTTTTTTTTTTTTCTGAGACGTTTTGTCCTTCATCCAAAGGACTTCTTCAATCCGAGGAGCCACCAAAACAAACTGATTCCCACAAACAGCATACTCCATAGTGGAAAAAAACAGTTTGCTGGAACTAAGATGGCCTCCAGGGCCCCGCCCTCTCCCCCGTCAACTCCTCTGAGACAGTCATACCAAAGCGGTTCAAAACATCAAAGTTCATGCTCAGTAATCCAGGTAGAACTCCTACAATGTTCAGTCAGGTCATCTGGACTGTTTCTTTTTCTCTTTTCTTTTGCTGAGACGTTTCGTCCTTCATCCAAAGGACTTCTTCAGTGTTAGCCCAAGTTTTTCTTGGTGACAATTTCAACATAACATCAACCTCTTGGATAACCTTACATGTTTATTACCCTGGAAATAACATCTGCTTTGATGAATGTCTTCTATTTTGTAAAAACACTCTGTTATGGCAACAAATTCAAGAACACAGCAGGTTGAAGATGTTGTGAAGTAAATGTACAAAGGATGTGATCCAGAAGTATTCTTAACTTGCTCAGTGTGAAATTTCCAAGCAGATATGAAGTTGGGTCCACAAGTGAGATTTAAAGCTGTCAACAACAACTGTCTAGATGATAGTTCAGTGTGACTAAAAGAAACAGCTACCAATTTGTATTATATCCAGCCTACTATGGTACCTTTCACATAAAATGTCCTATTAGTTTCTCAAGATTCAGCCTTTTGACAGAGTGATGGAACCATAACACGTGATGGTTCAATTAAAACGACTAATTGTGTGAGGGGTAAAAACATAAAAGCAATAACTCACTGGATTTCAAGTATTTTAATGATATACACTATAAGCAATAGTGTAAGAATTGAATGGAAGTCAGCAGATGTATTTATGTCTAAAACAGAACAACACCTCTATGTCTCTATAGAAAATGAGCCATCTGTCTATGACCTGCAGTCCAGTGGAGGAACGCCACCTGTGGGAGGCTTCATCTACAGGGGATGCCAGTCGAGAAGACTCTATGGAAGTTATGTGTTTGGAAATAAAAATGGGTATGTCCAAAAAAAGAGACTGTTAAACAATTAACCAATGTTTTAATATAGTCAGCATACTTTATTTTGGAACACCTTCTAAGGGGTGAGGTGATTTGGGCAAGTGACACGGCTGATTTACAACTTACTTATATCAGTATGACGCTTCCATATTTTCTCATTAGAGATGTGCTTTACTAGCAAGTCATCTGTAGCCAAGAAAGAAACTATTAGCCACAGTTAAAATGCAAAATTTTCCAGGATTATGAGTAATTCCAGATTGTAGCTCAAAGACTATCATTCAGGGTTTCTTAAGTAAGATTCACATAAGGATGAAAAGAAATCTATGTTTTAAATGTAAAATATTTTTTTCCTGGGGACTATTTGTAGAACAATGCCAAAAAGAGCAGAAACAAAATCACAGTTCTACTACAGAAAAGTCTTAATCATTCATTTGTTTTGACATCAGCAAAGAAAAAAAAAAATCCAGCAAAGTTTTGGCATATTATATATTCGAAAACATGCCAAATTGTACATCTCTATTTTTTATAATTAAAAGTATTTCCCCTAAATGAAACTGCTATTGTCAGCAGAAAGTTCCATCCACCAGGATGGAAAACAGGTTTTGTGTTACTATAAGCACTACAGAAGAGCCTGTTGAGTGCAAATTGAGATTAGACTTCCTTCTCAGTGTTGTTCATACTTTTCCTTGGTTTGTAATTCATTGCACTTTGCTGATGTCAAACTGAGGCTTGAATAAGCAAAGGAAGTAAGTAGTGTGTGGTCATATTATCAGGATGTGGCACTGTGTTTGAAACAATCTGTGGTTGGTAAATTCTACATCTCATTACAGTTTGCAAGCACATAGTTGTAGCTGAGTGAAGGCAATGGAAAATGTTTTTGTAACTAAAACCTAAGATCTTATGTAACAGTTTCAGACATGGAGTAGAAAAGGAATATGGGTCATTCATATTATATAAAGTTAAAGGTCTCCTTGTTTTCAAATATCAACTGTAACTTGGATAATATTGTTCTTGTCACAGCTCGGTAATTTAAAGGTGTAAAAATATTGTTGTCTTGGGTAAAATGTCTCAGCTAATATGATTTTACAACTATCCTTAACAGTGAATAATTGCTCTTTTTGTTTGTCATAGTAACCTACAAATCCTTCAAAAGAATGCATTTGCAACATCCTCGAGTGGAGAACAGTGGCAGGAAAAGACTCTGTGTTTAGGCTCTGCTGGCTCCTGTGCTTCTGCCCTAGCTGGGCAGATCTTGGGTTTTGGAGAAGATGAACTAGGTTGGTAATGCAACTTATCAGAAACCAGCAAATCATGCAAATATTTTTCATGATTTTTTTCAATATTTTTCACACCAGATACTCAAATCAAAGGTTCACATACTTTTACCACTCACTGATATGTAATATTGGATCATTTTCCTCAATAAATAAATTATCAAGTGTAATATTTTCTTTATCTACTTTTAGGACTTGTGTGAGAATCTCATCATGTTTTAGGTCACTTTTTATGCAGAAATGTAGAAAGTTCTAAAGGGTTCACAAACATTGAAGCATCACTGTAGGCTTTTAAGAAAAAAACAGCAATCCAGCATTTTTGATCATTTGGGGTTTGCAGAAAACTCCCTGCCTCAAAACCTACAGTATAACTCCTTCATGGGATCTACCCCTGGTGCTGGAGGCTCTCGCTGCTCCAACTTATTAGTCTCTGGATCAGGTGGAATTAAAGTTAGTAGCACTAAAAACAACACTTTTGCTGTCACTTGTCTCTACTAAGCATGTAAGTTAAAATAACACTTTATTCATACACCCATCTTGCACAAAGTTCTCTCTGGACAAGACTAGGGTGACTGCTCCCAAACCCTCCCTGCTTTTGAGCCTGAAGTGTTGGGATTCTACTCTCCAATTGAGTTAGTGTCTTTCAGTCCCACTCTTTTCTCTTTTGTGGAGCAGGAGAGGTTACACAAACTGTGCCCTTTACCTGCTTCACACATCTACTTGTACAGAACAAAACAGTGACCAACTGTTTGTCTCCTGGGCTAAGAAACATTTCAGGAAGCCGGTAGCAAAACATTGGTCTTCCCACTGGATCACAGGTGGGATTGCCTTAGCCTATAGCTTGAAAGAACTGCCGACTACAGAGGACATGGTTGCCCTTTGTGCTAGGAGCTTAAGCACTTCATGAGCCCCGCTTAAGGGATTATCCCATCTCCTCACACGTTTGCTTGGGTTTACAAACTTGATGTCACAGCATCATCACTGGCTCAGTCAGTACTCACTGTAGCACCAAGCACACAGGAGAATTTAAAATAAATGCTCTGAACATCGGACGTAACGTGAAGTCTGCTGAGAATTTGGAAGTCAGTATATTTTCTTTCCCAATTTGAGACACAAAACCAGTGTCTAACCCCAGTTCGCTCAGTAGCATAAGTGTCACCAATTCACCCACCTTGCTCTGATGTTGGAAGGAAGAGGTGAACCTTTTAGTATAAACTGTTACTGCAGCATTAGTCCTATATATAGGGGGAGGGACCCTGCCCTTCTTAACACTTAGCTTATTTCCAGCCAGTCCTGGTTGGTGTAATGTAATAGGAGCTTCTGATGAGGTCACGCCAAGGGCGTGCCTAGTGTGAGACATTCACTCATACTACTCAGGGATCCAGGTTCACGACAGTAACCTAAAGTTTTCCTTTTCAAGAAGAGATAATTACCATGGCTTGGATGTCTAAGTATTTACAGCAACACATTTCTTTTAGTTGTTTTCTTTAGGTAATGAGCCCTGTTTGCACAATGCCATTTTTAAGTGAAACCATAGCATTTCTGATACTGAAGCTTTTTGAATCCAGGTCTCAGAGTGGAGGTTTTGGAAATGCCGAACATAAAATCACACATACACACTACAGCTGACAGGCTAACTGTAGTACTGTATATCAATACAAAGTATTAAATATCAAGTAATACACTTAGAGCAAGCTGAGGTGAAAAGATAAATGGGATTAAAGATATTTAAGACATTTGAACTTCTATCAAAATTATCAGCTGTGGGGTTTTTAATCCAAAGGAACACATGACGTGGATCCCTCACACAGCTATTATAAATATTTTGTTATTGTCAGGGCTTAGAGTTATTTGATGGACTATTTAAAGATTTCTGCATTTGATCATAGTTTACAAGTAGTGCAAGAATGACATGTCCCAAAGAAGGGGCCCCACAGGCACATGTTTACAATTTCACCTCGTATGGAATTTTCTTGTAGGCTTGTTCCTCATTAAATTATCCACATGTTTCCCAGTCATGAGTATCCAATTGTCACAATAAACCCCTTCTTAAAGTTTTGTTGGCAAGTGTAGCATTGTGGAAGCAACATTTATTTTCTTCATAACCTCATGTGTGTTAGGATCTCTGCTTGTCTTGTGCTGCATTGTCTCTTTGTTTAGTTATTTGGAACCAACTGCAAACTGAAGTATTTAATGTAGTGGATGCTCATGACTCGTTGCTTTGTGACTGTTTCATTTTTACAGGTGAAGTTTATATACTAGTGAGCAGTAAAAGCTTGACACAGTCACACAGTGGAAAACTCTACAAGCTGGTAGACCCAAAAAGGTATGACCAAATAAACTTTTGTAAATTGTGGTTTATGTGCTGTAAGTGAGTCTTTGTTCAGTAAGTGATTACTGTTTCCTCAGAATGACAAACGTCTAATTTTATGCTGTCTTGGTTTTGTGGTTTGTTTTTCGAAATTTGGCACTGTCCACTGCTACTGACTCCCAAGAAGCCACAGATGTTAGTTTATCACATTTAACAGCAGAAATGTATTTTCTCACTCATTTATCTTCTGAAGTCTTTACCACATACGTACAGTGTACTGCTGTGACCAGAGCTTCATGACTGCATGATCTATAGTCGATCCAGCACCCAATCCAGCAAATTTTTGGATATGCATGTTTTCCCATTACAGTACTTGGTTTTTAAACCTGGACATGTTTTCTTTCTGAGGAGAGCTCACTACAGGTGTCAAAATTCATCACTTGCACACAAAGTTGAGAAGGGATGTGGCTATTTTTACCATTTTTAGCTAAATTTGTAGCACCATTTTTTTTTTTTTTAGCTTTTTCAAAATTCAAGGGATAAAACTGCAAGCCTCAGGGACTCAAGCAAGGAAACTTTGAACCCCTGCTAAGACTACAAGACATTTTGGAAATTCCTCCACAAATGACATTCACTGTCTATCTCTAATTCCTGTAAAAGTTTGTACAGAGGAGCACAATTAATTCAGTGTGCACACATCTGTTTTGTAGTGAGTGGTGAAATCAGGTTCTTATTGTTGAGTCTAATACTCAAATTCTTGCTTTTAAACTACTGAAACATGAAAGGGTGTTGTCTGAGTGCAACTCTATCATCTAAATGTGCACACATATCACCAGTTTATTATCCATACCATATGCATTCACATGTTAGAGATTATTCTGATATGGAGAAATATGCAAAAAACATGTGAAAAACAGTTGTTTCTTAAGACAAGGGGAAAGAATAATCTTACAAAATAACAGAAGGGATGCGTAAATTTTATGTACAGTAATCCTTCGATTAGTGCGTGGGTTACGTTCCACACACCACCGCAATAGATGAAAAACCGCAAAGTAGGAACGCTATATTTATTTTAGTATTTATATATATATTTTAAGGCTTTATAAACCCTTCCCACACTCTTGAAATGTTCTAAACTCTTAAACCTACAAAATTTTAACAACATATGTATATATACTGTACAGTACTGCAACATTTTACTCCCCAGCTCTGCAGACCAACAGCTCAGTTCTGGTTCTGCAGACCTATCCTGCAGCAAAGAAGCCCACCACCCCCTCCAGGTTAATGTGTGCATGAATAATTGAGCTTCAGGAAGCTTCAGGATTATTTGTGACTTTCCTGCCAGTTCTATGAGCTTCATAGATAGATGTTACTTCTGACTTTGTGTTGAAAAACTTTCCCTCCATTTTGACGGAACACAGCGTTTTGCGCATTCGTCTGAATATGGCAACACTACAGCAAACCGGCCGTAGTTAGCTTGTAGCTTCACTACTTAGCTCTCGAAGAAAAGATTTTAACACCACTTACGCACAGTTTTCAACTAAAAAAAGTAACAATTAAATCTGACAGCTCTGATTTTACATCAGACACAGCATTACTGCGGTCAACCGGTAGAAGACAGATCTCTATCATAGGCTAAATGTCTATTGTTTCTGCTGTGTACCGTATATACCGCGCATTCCTACATTTCGGCAGAAAGCAACAGCTGGAAGTACTGTTGGCTTCTGGGTAGTGTAATTCTTTTGACATGCATTACAATGTAGGCTTATTGAAAGAAAACTACAAAATGGCAGCGCCTGTCGAAAGTATTTTTTCATTAACTTTTTATTTCGTATCGTCCCGATCATGTGAGTAATATTAAAGTTGGCAACCATGTGTCATGTGCAACAGGGCTATTCAACTGCCAGCCCACGGGCCATTTCAGGCCCACGGCTGACTTCAATCTGGCCCACCAATGACTTCATAAAAATAAAATAAAAATAATTAATTTCCATTTAAAAAAATATTTTTGGGGGTGGGGGCTCTGGGTTTGGGTTCTGGTTATTGTATTTACGATTCAGTGCAACAAAATAAACAAATTAAAAAGGTAGCAGATCATTGTAATATTTGGTTTATTTACATAATGACTAACTGCTGGATGTCCGGCCCCTGTGGCCCCCTGAGCAGTTTAGTTGAATAGCCCTGGTGTACAATCTTACATTAAAAACGTAAAAGAGCGAGACTGCAAAGTGCAACTGTGAAGTAGTGAGGGACTACCGTACATGGGAGAAAAAAAAACACTTTAAACACAAACAGACTTTTTTTTTTCCAACTCCGTTTCATAAAACTTGTCAAGCTAAACCACTTCAGGTTATGTTTGCTTGTCTTATCATCAGCATTTTGGCACGAGACAGGCGAGAGAAATCTTGCAGCGCTGGGCTCACCTGTTCAAGTCAGTCAGTCAAGTGGAATATGGAAGGAAATTCCTTTATGATTTAGGCATGTGAAGTGTAAGTCATATTTAATTAAATGAGAAAGATCAAATAAGATAATAGGATTCTTAGGAAAATAATTTGCATACTTCACATTCACTATAGAAACATATTAGCAGCTGATTATTCCTGATTATCCACCCAGGCATTAGCACAAATAATTCAACCTCAGATGTTAGAAGGGGGCTTGCAATGTATTTCTGTTTTCTGGCATGGCTGCTAGATGCATTTCTCCCACAGAACAATTCTGTCTGCCATTAACTGAACATATTCAGTTTGTGGAAACCTTGTGGTGGTGTTGTTCTGACTCCCAATTTACAATAGCTTCATTATTAGGATCATGTTAAAGGAGGAGTGAATAGAGTAGATGACATGTCTGACCTCAGCAAGTTATCTAGTCTGGTGGTTCTCCCATCTTTTCAACACAAAAAGAACATGTAGAGCCTACAGCTTGTTCAGACCAATTTGTTTTAGAATAAAGTGGGTTTTGTGGTCTAGTGCAACATCTAATGCTGGTGTTGGTGCTGGTAAAACTGGTGTTTGAGAACAAAGAGGCTTTCAAGGGTAAGAACGAGGAAATGTCAGGGAGGGTGGTAAAGGCTTGCAAGGAAACTTCAGCTATAAAACCGTTCAGCAGTGTTTGTGTAAATTTTTTCCTGGCCAGATGACTTCATTTTTAGGTATTTGTCAGTTGCAGTACCACTCCAATAATAAATAGGCCACCATGTTTTATGAAACAATTTCAACGTGTGTGGTTTGAGTAACGGTGTATTTGAGAGACAGAAAAATATTGTGTTAAAGCAGTGGATGAATGTATTTCAAATTAAATAATCTATTTAATGACCACAAGGTGCTTCAAAAATCTTAAACACCTTAGAGGTCAGATTTACTGGATCATGTTAACACCAGAGGTTAAGAATGGGCATACATGTATGTGTGGCACCACGACTAGAAAATTCTTTAAATACGACAGTTGATCAACTTTGGTTTTGATACTTGTATATTCTTTTCTTTCAGTCTTCTTTGTTCTTGTGCCTTTTGTTCTCAAGCACACAACAAGTGAGCAAAGCGGTGGCCCGCAACCAAAACAAAACTTTACTTTAATTGTAGGTTAAGACCTTGGCGTGCTTCTCGACGTCCATGTAAGCTGTGTGCACACGCTTGTATTCATACTATGTTTGGATCAGCTGCTCCACAGCATTCCAACCAGGAGTCTGTAGTTTTCACTTCAATTTGAGAAGTTGTAATAATGAGGAGATTTTTTTTTTGGCTTTCTGCTCAAAATATGAGGAAAAAAGGAAGTTCAGATTATTTCTCACTAGAAATTCAATGTAGGTTTTGTGCCTTTGTAAGTCCTGAGTGATATTTTTTTTTAAATTTGTATAGCAACAAATTTACTTCTCTAAATAACCACCCATGCTGTTTTTCAATCAGTTGTGATTTCACTCACATTCTTTGATTGTTGTCTGTTTGTTGCCACCTTTTCAATGGGAGTCACACACTCATTGTTGGCTTGCACAATCTGCAAATTTACAAAGATCTGGACTGCTAGCTCTTGCCAACTGAAGGGCCCAGGGGACCTTGGCAGATAGGAAAATATGACATAATTTACATCACACAGCTTTTGCAGTTGAATAAACATGAAATGAAGAACTAACCTTCCATTGCTCACACTTTATAAGGTTGACAGGTTCTTATTGGCAGTCTAGCCACCTCTGATTTTATTTATCTAAATATTTATATAGCTATTATATTATGTATATTTTTCTTAAGAAAAAAAATCTCTGTTTTTAAAAGAAACATCTTAACCAAGATGTTTTCATGTGTCCAGTTCATATACTTAGTTAAACAGTTAGGGTCCATGTTACTCTTCATTCAAACAGCTGGAAACATCCTGCCTTCCTTTAACGTTTGGTCCTTGGATGTACTGTCAGAAACGAAGCTGGGCCTTTTGATGCTTTCTGGTGTAAAATACAATTTGCTTTTAGTTGGGTGTGAATCATCCTTGCCACAGAGAAAGCAAAATGATCAAGAGACTTTTTAAACTCAGATTTTGTCAGCTGCATGCTTTGATTAAATTGCAGTGAGCAGAGACAGAGATGGTTAACTTTACCTTGAACCTCCTTTTATGAAATTAAATAGTCGTGAAAGTTGAAAATTACTGGATGTGCTCTAAAATCATACTGTGGGGATACAACAAAGTTCAGGTCATCTAGATGGTTTCTTTTTTGGGGGAGTGGGGGTGGGGTGTTTGTTTGTTTTTTGTCCTTCATCCAAAGGACTTCGTCAGTCCGAGGAGCCACAACAAACTTAGTCCCACAAGCAACACACTCACATAGTGGACCAACCAATGCATCAGCATCAAACTTTGGCTATGGCTGCCTCAGAGGAGTCGACGGGGGAGAGGGCGAGCCTCAGAAACCATTTTATCACCATCAAACTGGTTGGTCCACTATGTGGGTGTGCTGCTTGTAGGACTGAGTTTGTTGTGGCTCCTCAGACTGATGAAGTCCTTTGGATGAAGAATGAAATGTCTCAACAAAA